GCGAAATGAAAGCGACTTTTTTTTCCAACAAGGAGCTGTTCTGTGATTGCGGAAAAACCCTTTTTAAACTGCCTAGTGAAGGCGCAAGAACTCTCTATTTATCATGATATTACACAGTTGGAGTCGAAAGTTCAACTTGATTTTGACACTTGAGTGCTTGGACAGTCAAACCTGTATTCAAAAGGTTAACACTTCATAAGCCATGAGACAAAGTTCGACAATTTTATCCTGTCTCGTTGAAACTCACGTTTTTCTCCAGTATTTACCATTATGTAAGAGTCTGAGTCTTGACAAAACATCTTTAATTCGTGTTAGCTTGCTGTAATTCTAAGTTTAAAAATACTTCACTTGGCAGGTGAAAAAACATCAATGTTAAATGACAAATTACGATCTTTTCCTGACGACGCAATGGGGGAAAAGTCATCTTGGATTACAGAGTGGGAAATTGCTTTGTTCAGCTATTTTTAGATGTTATTATGACGTAGGAAAATCGAAAAGAAAAAGGAAAAAATATTTGCTCTTTTTAACATACTTGTAAAACTTTTCATGATACACTGAGGTAAAAAAATTTTGAAACGTTTTGTAGCTGCTTGCATTGTCCGTCTCCAAAGACTGTTAGTGTCCGCTGTCAAAATTTACACAGGAATCAAGACACCAAGCATGTGACATTCTTAGGAAGCAACCCAGTGAATGAATAACTAAATGAATGAAAAAGACGCCAAAAGAAGGAAAACTTTCGAAAAACCAAAAATTAGCGTCTTTTTATTAAAAAGCATTCGGTACACGTTCAGAAACCTTTTTTTATGTATGAAATACGTCGACGTCAAGAACACTTTTTCCTCTACGAATTGCGTTTTTGCATCTGTAAGCATGTCATGAAATCGATCGTGGTGAAAATAGTACATCACGTCTTTATTTGTTGTAAGCAGAACATTCACGAAAGAATTGAAAGTTTCAGGGCATTCGTGGCAACTGCGTGAAGCTACCTTCTTCTTTAAGCTTTCTAAATCACTTAGGTCACATTCGGTTTTCAGATCAGTCTAAAAGCACGTGATAGTAAATACGTTCACTTAAACTAAACCCTTCTACAGTTCAATGGAAAAATCCCTCTCTATATATATATAATAATAAAGAAAATAATTAAATACCTTTCGATGCCGCTTTCAGTTTCGAATCAAGTCAAGCTGAAAAAAGATTTGAAGGCAGCGCATTCCAAAAGCGTTCGGCTTTGCGAAAGACTAGTCCTTCCTGTGCGCTTGTTTTGAAAAAATATCGCCCTGTAGGTTTTACTCGTGAATTTTGTCACAATAACCACAGCTGAACCGAAAGGCTATCAAATATCTTAACATAACGAGATCTGAGTATCACGGGTCGAAAATAGATCCGACCTTTTACCCTTGTTACTTAGGTTTCCGGTTTTCGGAGAAAATATGTCTTAGTTCAAAAGGATGGAAAGCACTGAATGAAACATTTTTTTCATACAAAAATACTGACCTGTTTTGCAAGACGAACGCCTGACAAAAATACTTTCACACTTTTGCTCAGCTGCCTCTCATGTAACCAAGGTTTCATTGACCGAAAAATCGAGAAAATACGTAGATGTTAAGAAATCAGTTCACGCCTGATTGAAAAGCGTGAGATTTTAGACTTTGATGATCCATGACGATCAAGTTATAGCTTCTCACTATTATTTTCACGAGGGGTATGGGGGATTTAGCAAACCAGATAGGGAATAAAAACAGAAAAAAATAACAAAAAAAAAAAACAAAAAATAAGTGTGACCTTGGGTAACTACGAAACTATTTTCGGTGATCAGTGAGTACGGTCAAGTACTAAGTTTTATCCGCTTGGTTTTAATTGTAACAGGAAAGTTGGAAGCACTAGATCTGCATATTATAATGGCTTCTTAGAATTCTGCCTAAACTAGTGGACAGCGGAAGGAGTGATGATAAGCATGCGCTTTGGTGACGAGAAATTCGAAACCTTGGGTATGATCCAAATTTTGAAAGAATGGCATGATGACAAAAGATATTGAAGAAAAAAAGGAAGAAGAACATGAGAATATTGACAGGTTTTTTATTTTTTAATCACGCCCTTTTGACCGAATGTATCTGTCGATTTGAATATTTTCAATCTGTATGAGTTTCTCCATCTTTGGTTTTTTTCCTTTGGTTTTTTCGTCTTTCGTGCTTGCTCCCGCTGCATTGAACTATTACCTAATCAACATTCATTTCCAAAGCAGAAGAAAGTTTACTAAAAATATCAGAGTAGAGAGTATTTTAAGTGCCAAGGTGGACAATAAAATCGTTCTTTAATTTGTCTCCAAGTTTTTTTCTTCTTCAAATCAAATGGCTGTATACACATCTTGATGGTCATTAGACAAAATGCAACGAATTGAAGCAAAGTGGTAATCGTGCCAAATGAAGCTCGGACGTCGGCAGATTACCTCTGTTCTTTAGACATGCAGTCGAAAGAATACAAAGTCACATGATCACATGATTACCACATGTGGGCTTTTTGATCACGGAACACGCAGACCTTTTGCGACATCGAAAAACCACTTTTTCTTAGGTAATTGGAATTTTTGTATCTCAGTGTGGGATTGTGAAAACCGATTCAGACTAAACAGGAAATGCCTAGTAAAGGAAATTTCATTCGTGCTGCTCTTCAAGGCAGTAAATACCGAATGCAATCAATTAAAAGTATATTTAAGTCTGTTAGAGGAAGAAAAACTGCAAAGTCTCCCAGATTGTTCTGCAGACATACTTAAGATCGATTTTTTTGGCATAGGGAAAGTAGTCGTATTTTTCGTTTGCTGGGTAGGTGCTGTTTAAGTTAATCCTTGGAATAAATTAATGTTTATAACTTATCAATGAAAATATTGTCGTTTCACAGTTTTGTTCAGCGCAACTATCACGCAAGTTTGAAAATTATTTCAGGGAAGAAAGTTTACCCCATTTCAAACGAGTTAATGTACCACATTCTACCAACCTTCGGCTTTGTTTCTTTTCCCAGCTGTTTGCGAAGCGAACAAGAAAGGTCTTTACTCTTTGCTAAAATTTCTGTAGGCTGAGGATTCAAGGAAGTTTCTAGCTATATAAATTTCTTAGGTCATCAGCTTCAAACTGACCTTGATGACGATTGGTTAGAATTTTACGCTGCTATGGTGTTGGCCTTTTGTTGATATGACGTCATCAAAAGTGTGCACGCTCCTCGAAAGTTAGGAAAGGTGACAACGCGATTTCGAGGGCAATTTTAGTACATTAGTAAAATTTTAAACGACAACAAAATTGCACGAGCTCGTAGGGCAAGTGCAATTTTTAGTCTTTGAAAAAATTACAAGCGGTTATTTACACAAAATTGCACTAGACGTGCGTAATTTTTTCCATGTATTTTATAATACATGTGAAGGCGCCTGCAAGACTATGAGCATTCAGAGAAATATAATCTACAAAATAATAAAGGTGTTCGAAAGCGGTTACGTAAAATCTTTGAAAAACAAGCGAAAAAAAAACATCCCGAGGCAAAAACGCAGTTAACTCCTTAATCCCAAATGAATTAGCCTTTAAAAAGCGACTCGACCTCAACACTGAAAACGTCGCCCACGCAGAAATCGTACGCGTAACAAATGTGCATGATGTGTTTTCAAATTTGAGTAGTCTCCAGCAAAGCGCGCGCGCGCTAGTCGCGCGTCATTCGTGTTATGGTCTGTCTTCTTATCAACAGGAATACATTTAAGCCTACGAGATCGTTTGTTGATATGGGAATTTTAATTATCAAATACCGCAGCAAGGTGTCCTAGGAAACAAAAATAAGGATAACATTTCGCTTGGGGGCATATAACCAGTTTTGATTGCATAATCTGTTTCTCTCTCTC